TGGAGGCATCTTTATCTTAGAAGGGAGTTGAGGACCCCACAGTCTACAGTCAGCTCACTTTCCAGGCCCTCACTGTGGTGGGTCTTCCAGGCATCACCTGGGAACTGGTTAGAGATGCAGGCTCTCTGCCCTCTGAGAGGAACCTGCAAGAACCACTAGGACCAGCGGCAGGGGAGGGGGAGAGAGCAGCAGGGGAGAGCCTCCCTGAGAGGAAAGTGCATGTGACTGGCGCTGTTTTGAACCAGTGGCACCTGGGATCACACAGAGCAGACAGATTCTTAAGTTCTCAGCGCACGGCACACCCCACTGCCCGCCCTGGGAAGACCAGTACTGTGACCCCACCCCGGCCTGGTGGCCCTGCCGGCTGCACCTCCTGCCCCCAGCGGGTGGGCAGGCGTGGAGTTTCAGGCTCAGGCCTTGGGCTCTCTTCTCTAGATCCCCTCCGTCGCCCTGGCTTATGAGAAAGCTGAGAGTGACATCATGAACAGGAAGCCTCGTCACAAGAAGAAGGACAGACTGGTGAACCTGCCCCTGGCCGTGTACTCGTACTTGCACATTGGTACGCAGAGGGCGTTTCTCGCCTGTCACCCAAGGGGCCACCCGAGAATTCACTTTTCCTGGTGGGTTGGGCGGGTGGGGATGTGAGGAGGAAGCAAAGGAGAATGAGGTCAGGGCAGTTCTGATGTCCTTGTCGACCCTCCCGTTCTTCCAGGCCTCATGCAAGCCCTGGGAGCTTTCCTTGTGTACTTCACCGTGTACGCACAGGAGGGCTTCCGACCCAGCGCCCTCCTTAACCTCCGGGTGGAGTGGGAAAAGGACTACGTGAACGACTTGGAAGACAGCTACGGGCAGGAGTGGGTGAGGGCGGGGCTGTGGGGAGGAGTGGGTGAGGACGGGGCTGTGGCGGCTCCTCCGCTTCACCCCTGTCGCTGCCTCGCCCCAGATGTGGAACTTTCTTTTCCCCATACGGCCGGACAGGGACCTAGAAGGTGACAGTTTTCCCGGTTAAGAGGGCTTGCGGGCCCCTTGGTCACAGCGATTTGACTTTACCGGGCCCAGCTAATCTCTCGAGTTGGATGCCTGGAGCTCACTTTTTTGCACCGGCCCTGCAGTTGGTGTGGAAGGGTAACCAGCCAGTAACTCCAGGGCTGGACCCAATCACCTAGGTCAGCATCTTTCCCTTTTCACCTGGCTAAAGGAAAAAACA